CAGATGGGCACTTGACTGATTTATACCTCTTTATTCACAAGCTCTCACATAAATGAATCTTTTTAGGGATAAATGTTTAGTGAGAATTACTATCAGTGAGACCTCATCAAGAATCGAAATTAGGATCAGATGAAATAAGCAATTAAAATGCTAACACAATCAGGGATGTCAACCATGTGGCCAGTCATAGCTCCCCAAAAGAAAATTGCTTTTCTGACCTTTTGAACACCCGTATAAATAATTCATGTCTCCAGAGATACATATATTGATATGTTAATACTCATTGAGATGATCACAAACTGCCAACAGGTCAAAAATGAAGAGTGAATTACTTCTCATGGCTATTTAGGTCAGTTCTACTATCAACTGACTGATTTTCCAAAAGCACAGACAGGCTTACCTCCTACCAAAAGCCCACAGGTAGTATATGCATCAGGGGCACATGACAATTCTCCACCTAAAATATAACTTCTATTGCACCACAGCTCTTCTCCTCTGCACCTCTAAAACTCTTGAAAGTTATTGAACATATCTGGAAGAACAGAGTTCTGAAAGGCAGGCTGACTGCTTCTTTCTTATGCATTTGAGTGCAAGTAAGCCAGTTGTCCTGAGTGCTCTTAGAGTACTTAGAATTACCCACTAATCCACTTGGAAGTTAAGAGGAGGTAGAATGGAGAGGGTGATCGAAGAGGTGATAACCATGACACAGCTTCTCTGCTCATGCCACATGTGTTAGGCATGTGGTGTTTCCTTCTATGACAGAACTGGTTTATGAGAGTTCCACCCTTAAGCTCTCCTTCCAGCTCCTGCATCACTCTTCAGCTGTTAAGCTTTCTATTGTGCCAGTATACAAATGTTCACAGAGCTAGGATAAACATAAAACTGTTAACATTTTTTTTATATAAAAAATATCCCTTTGGTAGAAAGGCTTATCCACCTCAGGTTTGGGAGAGACAGGAATTAAATAAACCCCAGGGCAGAACTGTTCCTTAAATAAAAGGGCCAGGGAAGGTGGTGCTGTAAATCACTAAGCAATTCTGGAACAGCCTGTGTAATGGCAAGCAGCATTTCTCACCACTAGACAGATACTGTGCACTGTGGGCACTGACAAACCATTTTCAAAGCACTGAAAAGTAGTTTTGTTCATTTTTGTATTGTGTACAGTTATATGGCTTAACCCATGTGGCACCTAGCTTCCAGAGCAGTACTGCTGTACTGTGAGAGCTGCAGGATTTCCTGCATTCCTAAAGGTGACAGGCAGATGGCTTCTGAGTGAGTCGTTTTTCTGTCCCAGGGTGCTTCCCTACCTCTGAAACAAGCAAGCTAGAGACATATTTTCCTCTCCAAAATCTGAGTGCTCCCCAGTGCATCCACAACCGTTCAGCAGCAGTGCTGAAGCAATGCTGAAGTACACACAATCTGGCCTTCTTTTGAGTTTCCATGTGTTTTTAAGAGTGACTTGTGCTGCAAAAGGAGCATGTTCCAGAGGAACCAGGAAGTCCCACAGATTAATTGCTCAAAGAATAGATGAACATCACACTATTTGTGAGCAGAATCTAAAATGCTAAGCGTTGTTGTTAAAAATACTTACCAGTCAGTAATTTCAGACATTGCAAATAGCAGCAAAATAATTGTGTGACACAGGAATGGAAAAGAGCACAAGGAATCAAACACTGCCCTATTATCAAACCTCCCCAGCAGTAAAGCAAAGGCATGGATAATGCATGCCTATATTGAGCCAGCAGATTATTTTCATTAAAAATTGCATTTCCAGCTTTCCTGAAATTATCTTACAGGACTGTAGAAGCCAAGCTGTCAAACAGAGAAATGTATACATTTAGGAGGAGAGCATTTTGGCTGCACGTGTTCCTTCACACACATTTTTCACAGCTTTACTCAAGCAGTTCACCTTATTCCAAATTCTGCAGTGGCAGATGGGGAGACCATATCAGACATTTTACACCTGTTCCAGTGCCTAATACCATGATGGCCACTGGAAACTGCTATGTGCAAAATCAAGGGATTTTATAACTGGAACTGCTTCATCAGCAGAGCTGGGATCTGTAACAATCCATTTCTCACAGATTAGCATATACTGGGAAAGAGGAGACTTAATACTTGGCTGGAGGTTACACAGACTGCTTGGCACTCTCATATGAGTTCTGATGGATGTCAGCTAGTCAATTTAAGATGTTAAATCCCCCAGCTGTTAATTCTGCTGTACCAGGTAACCTCTGGCAAGGGCTCCGATTGCTGTGGCAGTTCAGAACCAAGTGCCTTGGCACAAGTCCACCGTCCCTGGCAGCAGCTAAGACAGGCTCTGCACTGGCA